GAACAACACAACAGAAGGAAGTATGAGTTCCCGATCATTATGGAACCGCTATGCCAACTCTGGGTTTGTCAGAAAGGAATAAGAATGAATATTGGATAAGGCAACTAGCAATGTCTGTCACACCTTATGAAAGGCTACTGAACCCTAGTTTTACGCTAGTGTCACCTGTGGAGACTAGGGCCTGAAATTATAATCTTATAGGCAAAGATGATAGATTACAGTGTTGTGATGACAAGGTAGGAAGATACTGATACTGAAGGCTCAGTATGAAAGAGTATGGTATTCAGTAAGAAGTGTAAGAAATGTCCAGCTAAGCAAGAGGTTCAATGAATGATTTTGACATAAAAACATGAGATCAGCTTTTTAGTGTGTGATCAAGAATAATCTTTAGAAATTATTTATGGTCACAGGGAGGAATGTTTGGGAAAAATTATGTACATTTTAGAAATAAGGCAAAAAGATGACTACGTGATCTTTTAATATCATGTTAGAGCATTTTCAAATAAGTCCACCTGAGGGTTACTAGATTACCTTGGTGAATGTGATTTTATTTGATTAGCACCCAGGAGTTTTACAGCCCTCAAAAATTAGAGGATAATGTGATTGAGTATGGTATGAAGAAGCCTTAGAAATAGTTTATAAGCAAAAGATTAGCCTCAATTTAGAGAAAGAGAACAAGGTGCTCCAGTAGTTCTGGAAATTTCTATCAGTCGAGTAGAGAGTCTCCCCAAACTTGGGTTACATATAGGGCCTCAAAACAAAACAAAAGAAAAACAAAAACGCTGCTTTGTTAGGCTGAGGAATAAAAGGGTTGAGTAATTAAGAGAGATGGTAAGAATAAGAGCAAGAGATTTTTTTTAAGATTTTTTTATATTTATTTTATTTATTATTATTTATTTTTGGCTGCATTGGGTCTTCATTGCCAGGCGTGGGCTTTCTCTAGCTGCAGTGAGCAGGGGCTACTCTTCGTTGCGGTGCACAGGCTTCTCATTGCAGCGGCTTCTCTTATTGCAGAGCACAGGCTCTAAGCACGTGGGCTTCACTAGTTGTGGCACATGGGCTCAGTAGTTGTGGCTCACAGGCTTAGTTGCTCCGCAGCATGTGGGATCTTCCGGAACCAGGGCTCGAACCTCTGTGCCCTGCATTGGCAGGCAGATTCTTAACCACTGCACCACCAGGGATGCCCAAGAGCAAGAGATTTTTAATTAGGAGGGAAGGCAACATGAGATATTAAGTATGACCAATTTCAGGCCCCAAAGAGTGGAGAACAAGACTATTAGAGTGGACTTCCCTGGCTGTCCAGTGGTTAAGACTCCGTGCTTCCAATGCAGGGGGCAGGTTTGATCCTTGGTCGGAGAACTAAGATCTCACGTGCCGGGACTTCCCTGGTGGCACAGTGGTTAAGAATCCGCCTGCCAATGCAGGGGACATAGGTTGGATCCCTGGTTCCGGAAGATCCCACATGCCGCAGAGCAACTAAGCCCATGCTCCGCAACGAGAGAAGCCACTGCAATGAGAAGCCTGCGCACTGCAACAAAGAGTAGCCCCCCACTTGCCACACTTAGAGAGAGCCCATGTGCAGCAACGAAGACCCAACGCAGCCAAAAATACATAAATAAATAAATAAATAATCGATCCCACATACCTCATGGTGCGGCAAAAAAAAAAAGACTATTGGAGTACATCTTAGATCCTATATTAAGACCTTTTCTTTGTCTATTTTGAAAGAAATTGTGTAAATGAATTCTCTGAAACAAAGGCACATTTTAAGGAGGAAATGTGCTCACAATTTGGGGACATTTCAAAGGATTCATGCCTATAAGATAGAATGACATAATCAAGATGTCAACAATGCTTTTCTTTTCTGGTTCAGGATTGTGGCCAATATAGTTATCCTAAGAACAAGAGCCATTCTTGATATGGAGTGTGTACAAATCCAGAGGCTCCTGTGACTCTGAATAATGTTAGGGATCAGAAGACCCTCTAAGTGAAGTAAAATTCGCTGAGGACAGGACCTCCCAGACATCCTGGAAACATGCTGACTCCTTGCCTCTAAGCTGCATAGATCCTTTCCCCCACTGGTGAGAGTAGTGGCTTTCTAGGGCAGTCCATAGTAGTCTGGAAGGTGGTCTACCTGTTGATCGTGTATAATATGGATGCCTGTTTTATGATAATGTCACACTCTGTTCTTTCATCCTCTTAGTCATCAAGGCCTGTAGACTCTGCCTCCACAGTGTCATGTTATTTTTTCCATTTCCACTACCACCACCAGGTCACCACTAATTCTTTTTTTAAAAAATATTTATTTATTTGGTTGCACCAGATCTTAGTTGCAGCAAGTGGGCTCCTTAGTTGTGGCATGCTAACTCTTAGTTGCGGCATGCATGTGGGATCTAGTTCCCTGACCAGGGATGAACCCAGGCCCCCTGCATTGGGAGTGGAGTCTTATCCACTGCGCCACCAGGGAAGTCCCTAATTCTTGCCTATCACATTGCAGTAGCCTCCTAATTTATTTACTTCCAATCCTTTCTCTCTTGATCCATTCTAAAACAATTAGAGTAATGAACCTAAATTAGAGCATATATCACAGTACTCTAGTTCTTAGAGGTTCCCAACTGCCTAGAAAAGTTCTAAGCTCTTCAACTGGCTTTCAAAGCCCTCAATAATATGACCCCATTCCGCTTTTCCAGCTTTTGTATATCCCATATTAGTAAACATTCAGATTTATCCATTCAACAATGGAGTGTTTGCCATGGGTCAAGCATATAGCTAGGGTTACAAAGGGAAACACGATAAGTATCCTCATCAAGTGGACAGCCAGTGGAAAAGAATAAAACTGAAGAGTAGCCCACGTGGAAGAAGGCAAACCAGGAGAGTATTGTTCCCTAAAAGGCACATGAAGAAAGTGTTTCAAGAAGGGAATGATTAAATACATGTTAAATACTGCTGAGAGGTCAAGTAAAATGAGGACTGCAAATTAACCACTGGAGTTTGGTCATGTGGAGGTCATTGCTGACACTGACAAGAATGGTTTCAGTGGAGTGGGGGGAATGAAAGCTTGATTGGGGCGGGTTCAAGAGAGAAAAGAAAGTAAGGAGGCTGAAGATTTTTGCTACAAAGGGGAACATCAAGAATTTAGGTTCTAGGGATTTTCCTAGAGGTCCAGGGGTTAAGAATCTGCGCTTCCACTGCAGGGGGCACAGGTTCAATCCCTGGTTGGGGAACTAAGGTCCCGCATGCCGCGCAGTGCAGCCAAAAAGAAAAAAAAGAATTTAGGTTCTAGGGAAGGCTTTCTAAAGATGTGAGAGAGAATATCAAGCTTGCATGCTGATTGATGAAATGATTCCATAGGGAGAGCGAAAGTGATGATGCAAGGGATAACTGCAAGTACTTACTTGAGTAGGCAAAGAAGATGGGATCCAGTGCACAAGAGGTTGATCTGAGATAGCAGAGAAGGTTCAATCATTTTAACCGCAGGAATAGCAGAAAGAATGGAAACAGAAGGAGTAAATTAGTAGATTTGGTGGTGAGAAATGAAGTTTTTCTCTTCTGACTGCTTCCATTTTCTCAGTGAAGTAAGTTAACAGCTGAGAGTGAGGAAGGGAGGAGGGAATTATGGAGGCTTAAGGATAGAAGGGATGATGCGAAATGCAACAGGATTACTGAGCACTTGAGATTTCTGGCTATAATTAAGGTGAAACCTGCAATGCATTTCTTTTTTCAGCCTCTGAAGAAGAAAATGCTTTTGCATGCAAATTTGCTCAACCTCTCTCCCCTTGATAAAATCGCATTCTAGAAAGCAAAGCAGAAAAAGCTACCTCTTCCATAAAGTCTTCTTCCTCTAGCTCTCCTAGCCCAAAGTGAATTTTCCAACCTCTCAACTCCAATATTAAGTTGCTGATGCCTCCTACAGAGCATAAATTCCATCTCACATTATGGTTAGTTGCTGTGCAAGACTGGAAGTTCCTTAGAGAAACCATTTCTTATTCACTACAGCCACAAGATGTTTCTCTCCATCCTCTCTGCCACATATAAATCTCCATCGTTCTAGGTCTTGCCCAAATACATAATTGTGTGGTATGGATGCCCTATTTCCTTACTAAATTGATATTTTCAGGAATAGGAACCTTGCTCACCTTTCCTGCTTATGTCCCTCAAATATTTTGCTCTTGAATTTTAGCTATTATTATTTTTACAGGTCTTTTAACAAAAAGAGGTTGCTTCAATTAATGTTAATTCATACATACGGTATATACCAGGATCCTTGTCCTCAAGGGGTTGACCGCTAGAGTCAAATGTCTCAGAAGAGGTGCTGACAGAGCAAGGCTTGTATGTAAATAGCACCAGAGGGTAGAGATGGGGAATGGGAGAAAGCAAACAGGGAGACAGGAATAAAATTTAGGTGGAGCAGAACAATTTCGTTTTGTCAACTTACATAAAATGATTCTATAGGGCAGTCCATGGAGCGTCCCCATTTCCAAAGAGCTGAAGATGTGCAAAATAACTACAGGTCCCCAACAGTGCCCTCTTATTTATCCGTATTATCTAAGACTGTTGTTCCCCATCCGTGGCAGAATTTACTCATTCCTTTTCCTCAAAGTCTGAGCGACTATATGGTTAAGACTTTGGTGTGGGAAAAAAACCTCTGGCACAAAAACAACAGAGGGGCTCACAAATCAGGGTTCAGGGAAGCCCAGAGAGAGCCATTATTAGCAGGCCCAGGTGAGCGCGAGGCAAGAGAGCGAACCCACCAGCCCAAGCGCCTGAGCCGCCGTTACGTAACCGGCCGCGAGAGGCTCCGGAGAGCCGGAAGCCCCGCCCTGCCCCAGGCCCCGCCCCTGCCCTAACCCGCTGGTTAGGTGTCGTGCGCAACCCTCCGGAAGATTCCGCCTTTTTCACCATTTAAGGATACAATTTTTTTTTAAGAGTTGCTGACGCCATTGCGTAGGACTGGGCCCTAAAACCGTGATCTAGGAGCGCCTCTCTCAGTCGTTACTTCCGCTCTTCAAGGTAGGAGTCGGGGTCTCCCCGATTTTTCTCAGTAGGCGGCGGCGGCGGTTTGAGATGTTCGGCCTCAAGAGAAACGCAGTAATCGGACTCAACCTCTACTGTGGGGGGGCCGGATTGGGACAGGGTAGCGGCAGCGACGCCTCCGCTCCGGGAAGGCGGCTTTTGGCTGCGGGAAAGGAGGCCACGGCCGGGCGAGAGGTAGGGGGAGGGGAAGCCGGCGAGGTGATTGGCGGAAGCGCCGGCCCGAGCCCCCCGGCCACTCTCGCGCCCGACGCCCGGAGGGTCGCGCGGCCCTCGCCCATTGGCGCCGAGGGCCCCGACGTCACCGCGACCCCCGCCAGGCTGCTGTTCTTCGCGCCCACCCGCCGCGCCTCGCCGCCCGAAGAGATGGAATCCTCGGCCTCCGACGCCATCATGTCGCCCGAAGAGGAGCTGGACGGGTGCGAGCCGGAGCCTCTAGGGAAGCGGCCGGCCGTCCTGCCCTTGCTGGAGTTGGTCGGCGAGGCCACTAATTGCCCGGGCAAGGACGGCTCACTCCCCTCGACGCCGCCCCCAGCAGAGGAGGAGGAGGACGAGTTGTACCGGCAGTCTCTGGAGATCATCTCTCGATACCTCCGGGAGCAGGCAACCGGCACCAAGGACGCGAAGCCACTGGGCGGGTCTGGGGCCGCCAGCCGGAAGGCGTTAGAGACCCTGCGACGGGTCGGGGACGGTGTGCAACGGAACCACGAGACGGCCTTCCAAGGTAAGGGGGTTATTCGCGAAGGCCGCGCTGCCATTTTTCAGCTCTCTGGACTCACCCACCTTTGGTGGGTGGAAACCGAAACGAGTCAGTGTTGAAACGACTCTCATCCTATTTCTGAAACCAGAATATTCTGGCCGTGAGTCATTGTTTCCACCCACTTGATTCTTTTGGAAATGGCAGCTCTGCTCAAAGCCCGGAAAGGGTGGGATGTCAATTTTCAAGTGGGATCAGCCTGAGTTCTATAGAGCCCGAATAGCCATTTCCCCCGCCGTGGGTGGGCAGGCGAATCGTGCCCTGGTTTAGACAAAGAGGCCGTGAGAACCTGCATGCTTTTCTTCCTCTCAGGCATGCTTCGGAAACTGGACATCAAAAACGAAGACGATGTCAAATCTTTGTCTCGAGTGATGGTCCATGTTTTCAGTGACGGAGTAACAAACTGGGGCAGGATTGTGACTCTCATTTCTTTTGGTGCCTTTGTGGCCAAACACTTGAAGAGTATAAACCAAGAAAGCTGCATCGAACCATTAGCAGAAAGCATCACAGATGTTCTCGTAAGGACAAAACGAGACTGGCTAGTCAAACAAAGAGGCTGGGTAAGTTTGTTTTAAGGTTGAGGAGGGGACTTGGAGTGGAAATGAAATGGAGGATTTTATAGAGAAAGAGGGGATAGCTAAAGGTTTTTAAGATGCACAACTCGGTTTTCAAGGCTCTAACTTACGGAACTCTAGTTGCTTGATGTTGATTTAAGTAGTTGGTCCTTAGAGATGGTATGATTGTCTTGAATTGTTGTATCAAAAATCCTGCTTTGGGGGCTTCCCTGGTGGCGCAGTGGTTGAGAGTCCACCTGCCGATGCAGGGGACACGGGTTCGTGCCCCGGTCCGGGAAGATCCCACATGCCGCGGAGCGGCTGGGCCCGTGAGCCATGGCCACTGAGCCTGCGCGTCCGGAGCCTGTGCTGCGCAACAGGAGAGGCCACAACAGTGAGAGGCCCGTGTACCGCAAAAAAAAAAAAAAAAAAAAATCCTGGTTTTCTGTAGGCTGTTTTACTGGTTAAGAAATAAGAATCACCTGAGCATGATAGCAAATACTTTTTGAGCGTGCCCCACCTCCCTTTTAATTGCATAATGTGTCTCCTTTGCAGTCTGCGGGTAAATAATAATTGGTTCGTCATTGTGTTTGGGGGGGGGGAACCTTAGATATTTTAATTCATCTTTTCTTTGTAAATAGTGTTTTTAAGCCAGTGAAAGCCCATACTTGAAACTGTGCTTTTTGTTTGTTTGTTTTCTAGGATGGGTTTGTGGACTTCTTCCATGTAGAGGACCTAGAAGGTGGCATCAGAAATGTGCTGCTGGCTTTTGCAGGTGTTGCCGGAGTAGGAGCTGGTTTGGCGTATCTAATAAGATAGCCTTTTAAGTGCAATAATTGACTCTTAACCAACTCCAGCCACCAAAACCACATACGCCTGCTGTGAAATCAGATGTATTTATGAAGTTGGACTTCAGGCTGTGCAGGCCATAACCTCCAGGAGTTCTACTCTAGCAACGGAGAAAAGCAAGCGGCAGGAGGCTTATGGCTAACAGGAATAAATACATGGGAAAAGTAGTCCCTCTTGAAGAGTTACTGTCTGAAAGAAGTGAAAGAAACGGAATTCAGTTTCAGCAACAGGCAAACTTTGGGAGGCCACGGAGGAGGACTTTTAGATTTAGTGAAGACGGTAGGGTGGAGAGACTTTAATTACCTTGCCTAGAACAGGAAAGTGGCCAGTAGCCAGGCTAGTCATAGAGTTCATTAAATATGCCCACTGAATCCATTAACTTCTATAGTGTTAAAATAGAAGCACTAACAATGCCAGCGGCATGTGTAAAACGGATTTTAAGCTACAAGTAATAGAACCTATGACTAGAAGCCTCAACACTGTACAGCAGAGTGTGAAGGGAAGCTTTATCCTCTATAATTAGCTTTCCTAGATGTGCTTCTTGAATAGAAAGTCCAATACTCAGGATGTTTATACCTGTTCTACTTTGGCTTGGTTTGAGTGATTCCTAGTTTATTAGCCTAGTGTCATGGCCAAGAATACTTGACTTAAGGCTCAATTACAAATCTGGAATATTCTGTTTTTAAGACAAAAACTTGTAATCGTCTGTAAAAATTGTATATATTTTTACAGAACATCTGTTAGAAATGTAAAGGGAGAAAAGTCTGAAATTACATTAGTTTTTTCATACCCTTTTGAAATTTACAACTTCTGTAGTTAGGAACCTGTTTCTTATAGCTTTTTCTATTCTAAATTTTGTGCTAGTCAGTTCTAGATTGTATACAGCACCAACTGATGTAATTGTATGCAACCTGGTTGTAGTACAACAATTCTGATTCATAACTATGCAGGCTTTAATTTTCCTATCTGATTTTGGTAAGTATTTCTTAAATACCTGTTTGGGTTTGTTTTTTTTTTTTTTTTTTAACCTGGGGCTGAGAAATTGAGGAATGGAAATTAATCCTTTCACTTTGTTACATTGGGTTTTCAATAATTGAGTCAAGGTTTTAAGGATTTATTGTGGGGGCAGGGCACACAGGCTGATGACTTAGAAATAATGGGCTCTGATTGGGCAACTACTCATTTGAGTTCCTTCCATTTGTCTTAACTGGTGAAATTTTAACTGAGTTCATGCGCTCATCTTCAAAGCTTTTGCTAAAAGATTTTCAGCTGTTCTAAATGGGACTTATTAGGAGTATGTATAAAAAGAGCACATTGGGTGGATGAGAGACATTTGATCCCTTGTTTGCTTAATAAATTGTACAATGATGGCTTGGAAAAGCAGGCTATAATCTAACCATGGTGCTATTACTAGGCTTGCTTGTTAAACACAGGTCTAAGCCTAGTGAGTTAATAAAACGAATACTTATTTCATTTCTATTAATGATTCTCAAACTTTGTTTCAAATTTTTGCATTGGCATCTCTATGGACTTCAGACTTGATGTTTTATCAAACTTACCGTTTATTTCCTATCCTTCCTTGAAATATTTGCTGCTTGTTCAGCTCCCTCTACAGATATTTATAGTTCCTACAAATTTACCTTGCCATCCCTGAACTCTTACTAGCCCTTTTAGTTTTTGGCACTAGGAACCTAAGTGACCGCCCAAGGAGTCCACAGACCTTCATCCTTCTTGAATTTTATTCTTAGGAGGTGGCAGTACAATGGGTGCTGATAGTAACAGTGATGAGGTGAGAAGAGTCCCTTTTCCTTGGACTAGTATCTTATTGGTTGTTACTTAATCCTGTCTTTGGGGAGAAATTTTCAAAATCCCCTTAGGGATTTTCAGAGGAGGGGATGATAGGTGACTTTCTCTAGGTTCTTTTGCATTTGAATATGCTCACTTAAAATTATAGAAATTGATGGGCTCTGTTAAACCTCAGAGTTATATAAAAGCTACTAGTAAACTGGAGAAAACTTTTATAGTGGAACCAGGGTCATTTTGAAACCTTCAGCTTCTGAATGTGACCTTTAGTATGTGGACTCCAGACAAAAATAGGCATGAATAAAATGACTAAGAATGTAATTAGGGAACAATTGCCCTGCCCACCCATCTCCAAGCCTTAAGGTCATCTAGCTAGAGCTATTTTTATCTGTGTATTTATCATTCTTGATCATAAACCACTTATTTATATCATGTCTATCTCTAAGGACCTAAAAGCACTTTATATAGTTAATTAATCTTAAGATCTAGTTAAGATGACTAAAAAGGCCTGTCTCCCCATAGCCAGTTGTGGAAATAAGCACAGAGCTGTAGGTTGATGGAGTTTAGGGGCCCCACTTCCCAATTTACTAGGTGTGACTGCTGAAATGTAGATGAGAATCTTGCTATTTTGGGTCAGAGGCTGTGAGGGCTTAGGGAGCCCAAGTGCTTTGGGGCAGGGTGGGTGATTCTGTAGGGAGAAGAGGCACATGTTTTAAGTGCTGACTAGCTGCATAGTTCAGGCAAATCTTCCAAAATGGAAAGGGAGGGGCTGCCTGGAAAGATGGCTCTCTCAGCAACTTCTGTCTGTCTGATGCTTCTCTCAGGGAAAACCCTGCAGTCCTCTAGTGTCTATGTAGATTCTGTTGGGGGTGAACACCTTGGTTCTGGTTAAAACAGCTAATGCTGTTGACATCTGTGCCAGGAAGGGTTAGGACCAACTACCAACTAATGTGGGCTGTAAAATGTAGTGTGTTTCCCTAACTTCCTGTTTTTCCTGAGATGAAAATAATAAATCTTTTATTCAAATGCAAGGTGTGGTACGGGTGTTTTCTAATCAATGCCTGTTTTCCTTCCTCCTCTTAGGCAAGCATCTGAGGGAAGTCAGCTGAACAAACAAGTATAGGTGAATTAACCAGCAAAAGCCCCATAAAGCTGATTTGCCTTAGAGCAAAGGTCAGTTCCATTCAGAATAACCCCTTCTTTCATTCAAATTAGAGCTGTTGGGCTTTTTAAAAAATATATTCTTGGCCACACCACAGGGCATGTGGGATCTTAGTTCCCTGACCAGGAATCAAACCCACACCCCCTGCATTGGAAGCGCAGAGTCTTCACCACTGGACCAGCAGGGAAGTCCCAGGCTTTTAATTACATGTATTACTGTTGTACTTTGGAGTAGTTCAAAAGTACAGCAGTATATTTTAATACAAAAATCATAATCCCCATCCCGATTTCTTTTAGTCACCAAATGTTGGTATAACTTGGGGGTAAGAGGGTTCACTACAGCAGTTATCTCCCTATCTCACTCAACCTTTTGAGGTGAGTAAAGGAGCTAGAAGAATTAACACCCAAAGTTAAGTTTCCATAAGGTTGTTGGTACTAATCTTTAAGTGCCTTTCCCCTTTCCTCCCAAAAAAGAGGTGAGAATAAGCAAGTCAATTTCAGAAGCCCTATCCTGTCTTTATTTTCAGCTACCTTGAAAGGGAGCAGAATCACCATGGAAATGTGCAAATATGAGGTTTGCATATTGGTTTTAAGCCCTGAGCACCAAATGCTAATCATGCAAACAGGATTCTGCGCTTTCTGCGCTTTTCCCCCTTCAGGTTTTATGCATTTCTGTTTGGCAGCCCCTCTTTTTCTGGAGCCTGACTACCAGAAGATGGCAGCTTTTTCTCATTACAAAGAAAGCTGTTTTGTACAAATGAACTCCCGAATAGGTGTGGACGGAGAGTAGCACAGGACATGAGCGCCCAAATCGTGGTCAGAGTCAAGTTCTGCTGTGCAAATACTATTGCTCCCATTGCTCTGTTGTGATGTGAAGCTATTTCTGTGGCAATATTCCTTAGTTTAACACCTTAAAAACTTGGGTCAAATGGTAACCAGTAACATGAGTCACTGAGGGAGTCAAAATAATCAACACTTCCCCTCATTTGACACAACCAGACTTTTTCTTTCAGTTCCTGTTTTGCCACTTTAGTGCTAGCTCTTGCTTCAGACTGTTTCAGAACATTTTTCTTAAAGCAGTTGTGACAGCTGGAGGGTTTTACAAAAGTTAAAGTGAAATAATTTGTACAGCTGGTGTGTAGCAGGGCTTCAGCCAGATGCCCACAGCACAGGCCATTAATTCCTGGAGTTCAAGATGATCAGCTGAGTCTGTCTTAATTTATCCTAGTTCTTTCTGGCCCCACTTTTTCAATGATTACAGAGCTTTGTCTTCTGGAACCCTCCCACACTCTTTAAAGGCTTCTCAGTTTCAAGATTTGAAAGCTTAACTCTGTCCCTCTTCTTTAGTTTCAAAGTTGTTACAGTGTTATCTTAGTTATGTGAAGCATGTGGAAAGTTAGGAGTTGGGAATCGGCCTGCAGGCAGATGTAACAGACCTCTCAGGGAATTCTGTGTTCTTTACTAATGATTCTTGTGAGGTTAAAAAAAAAAAAAAAAAAAAAAATAGGGCAGGCTTTTGTTCCCACGCTATACCTGGTCTTTCTTTTGCAGTTCCTTTCTTTACCTGCATAGAATAATAGTTCTTGACTGTTGGGAAATGTGTTTGGGCCAAGAATACTACTCTGGATTTTACCCCTTCCAAGTATCCATTTCTATGGCTTGTCTCTGCCATTGGGTTTCTGTATTCTTACCCACTTTGCCTTCTCTCCTTTTCCCCTGTTTGGGGGTTACTTTAGTTTATTAAGAATGTTTCAATACTTCAACGATCTGGGACATTTAATGAGCTCAAGGCAGCCAGATGTTTTGTTGAGTTTCTTCATTTGTCCATTACCTGGCAGGGGACTGCTTACTATGCACCATGCACTTTTGGATACTGAAGTTATGAAAAGACTAATTCTTACCCTCAACACAATCAAAAAAGACTAGGGTGGAGTGGGAGGTTGGGGTTAGAGGATGTAAGCTTTTGCGTATAGAATGGGAAAAAAACCAACGAGGGAACACTCAAAGAAACATGACAACTAAATGCAGGGTGATCTTTGATTGGATCCTGGATGAAAAAAACTATAAAGGACTTGGGAACAATTGGGAAATTTTTAATATGGGCAATATGTTAGTACTGTATCAATGTTAAATTTCTTGAGTGTGGTAATTATATTGTGGTTATATAAGAAAATGTCTTCGTTTTTAGGAAATACATCTGAAGAATTT